TTTACTCCTTAAAATCCAACAGCTGTAGTTAAATGCATAATATCAGAATCAATTAAACTAAGATCAGTAATCCTCGAGTGTTATTGATATTGTTAATTCATATGGTCAAAACAGTTACTATCATATAGGCTATTCTGCAATGCTTCAACTAGCGATTCTCAACCAGGGTGCTGTGAGACCCTTTTGGAAGGGCCTGGCTCCACCATCACGCAGCTTTCCGGTGGGGCTGCTGCTGCCACTGCTGCAGCCACCGGGGGACCTGCTCAGCTTCCCTGGCCTCCACTGGCTCCTCCTTGTCTCCCTCATGCAGTGGTTACTCCAGGCAACAGGTAGAGAAGCAGTGGAGATAGGGGCAGGGGGTGCTACAGCTGGGCAGGAGTGTGGAACATGGGGCTGGTGGGAGAGTGAAGCACCTCCAAGGGAGGTGGTGGGAGAAGAGAGCATGGGTGTAGGGGGGTCCCAACACCCTGCCCACACTCCCCCTGTAGTGCAGTCCTCACTGCCAGTGGCAGCAGCAGGCACTTGGGGAGCTTGCGACCCATGCAGGCATTGCTGCCTAGCTGGATATGGCTCTGGCCAGTAACGTATGTGGTGGCAAGGAGTGCAACTAGCCAGCCCGCCTCTACCACACAGGGCTCCCTGTGGCACACAAGCAGCTCCTGGCACTCGTGCGCCCCACCCCACAAACCCCACACCCTGGTCCCAGAACCCCCACATACACTCCTGCAACACACTCTATGCCCCTGCCACACATACAGCTACACGCCCTCACAAACACCACATACACCCCCCACACCCAACCACATACACAGACACACACACACGCACAAAGCCACACCCTACACACAATATACAGAAGTAAGACTATTTTTGAGATACTATGAAATCATCTTTATATACAGTACCCAAACAAAAATCATGGCAAAAGACATTTTTTGTAATAAAATTGAACTATGTTATAGTAGGTTTTAGACTTGGTGTACGATTTGTTTTTTTTCTGGTTCCAAGATGGCAACTCTCCCCTCCCAAAAGGAATACTTCAGAGGGCAAGGGCAGGGACTTCCAGTGGCAAAGGTAAGGGGGGGAGGGGGTCTGCGCACCTGTCAAGGGGCAGGGCTACCCTTGTGGCCCTTGACAGCTCACTAAAACTCATTAAGTGGCCTTCCAGCTGAAATAATTACCCACACCTGCCATAGAGACTAACCTGCTCAGAAAGCCATATGGTTTTTTAGGAATGTTTTAGGAATGCAATAAAGTAGATGCAGGTCACACTGATGAAATGGGAGCCAGTGTTCTGGAATGCAGAATGTGAAAAGGACTTTGTGATAGATAGTTGATTCTGAGCTTGCAATGGAAGGAAAAATGTGATCCCTGGATGCATAAGTAGGGAAATATCAAGCAAGTGTAAGGAGATAGTATCATCTCTGGAAATGACAACATAGGGTGCTTATACACAAGCACACAGGCTGCTGAAGTATGGTAATTACTTCATTGCAGCCAGTTTCTGCATCTCATATATCAGTGTCCCTGTGCTTCAAAAAGGCAGTGGGGGTGCTTAACCTAAAGCTTGTTAAACAAGCTTTAGTTCAAGCACCACTGCTGCCATTTTGAAGCATGGGGATGCCAATACACATAATGCTGCAGAGCTTTAACTGGTGCGGCTCTTGGAACCCTACCCCGACCCCCAGAACATGTGTAAAAGTGCCCACAAAGACTAGTTCTGGAATGCTTAGTCTAAGATATGCTATCCATACTTTGAAAAAGCGTGTTGAGTAATTGTAAAGCATTCAGGAAAATTATAGAATGATGCAAGATTTGTCAAGTGCCTTATACAGGTACACAACGCAGTTCTATCTTCTTTAAACAGTGAAAAGATCATGGTCTACAAAGCTACAAATAAAAAATAATTAGATAATTGAGAGCTACCTAATCTAGCTGAAAAGGCCCCAGAGCTGGAAGCTGAAGCCTCATGCATTCAGACCAGAAATAAGATACAAATGCAATGCCCAATGCATCAGGGATAAAGGTCATAGCCATGTTGGTCTAAGAAAACAAGCAGTCAGTGCACTAGAGGTCATATCTTTTATTAGACCAACTAGATAGTTGCAAAAAAAATGTTTCTATTTAGTTGCAAACTTTCAGGTACACACACCCTTCTTCAGGCATAGGAGAATGTAAAGTTTGTAAAATTTCTGCCAGGTAGAAATGTAAATTCATATTTCACAGGAGAGTTGGAGGGTGGAATAAGATCTTCTAGCTGGAAAAGTTCATTTTTCACTTCATACAAATTAGCCTCAGATAAACCTTGGAGCAGTTTACTTACTTCAAAGGTGCCCAATGTATTGTTTACACCTACAGTGTAATTTACAAGTTGTCCAAGAATCAATATTAAGGGTTCGAGCGTTACAGACTTAACGTAACTACTAAAATACCTTTTTTCCAGAATCTGTTAAAAGACAGACTGTCTTTTTGACATGAGCCAGCCTAATGAGTCATGAACTTCAGCTTTTCAACTTAAATAACTAGAGACAGGCTTTTAATTAGCTGATAATACTCATATAATAGGAAGGAAGATTTAGTCTAGATTAGCAACAAAAGAATCTCAGCACTTCACATTTGAGTCCAATGAAGTGACATCCATGAAATACTTGCTTCCTCTAGAGAGTCACAGTGAATGCTTGAGGTTCATTTCTGTTGCTGTTGAAAGCCAAAACACTTACAAAAAGCTCTTTTCTTGAAATATTTATTTCAACTCTAGGGCTGATACTTAACACTGAATGCATGTCCTCTTGATGAAAATTATTCAATAAAGTTCTCAGTGGTCTAATAGGAAAATATTTCTAAATACAAATTATGACACAGGGCAGAACATTGCAAAGTTACCTTAATGACGAGCATATACATTACACTAGACATTCATATTTAAGACCAACCAAACCACCACAAACCCTAGACAGCATGCTATGAGTTTTTTAAAAAGAAGCACAATAAAATGTTTATCTGAAGCAAAGATATTTTAGGGTACATTTACAGTAGCCAGTGAAATGCATCACCATCAGAATGTTCTCAGAGTAGTTATACCACAGGCAGCAGGAAACCTACTAAGGTGCCTCCACATTGTGTTATATATTAACATGATAAAAAAAGACCTGAACATGCAACTGCTAACAGGCAGTCAAATATATTAAAGTAAGAAATGTACTTACTTATGTATTTATTTATTTACATTACTTTGAAGAAAAAAATTAAATATGTTTTATAAGATTATCTACTTCAGATGCAAGAGGAAAAATCAATTTATTTTCATTCTAAAATTTAACTTGACAGGCTATTTTCAAGACTGCTACCATCTAAAGAAACCTTTTTAATCTCTGATGTGACAGGACTTCCTTGTAAAAATCAGTTTAATATCCAACAGCCAAACTGGTTTCTCTTCTTTTGGCACTTCACAACCAGTAATAAGCTGGTGTCAAGTTACATCCTTACTGACAGTGCATCCTAATGGCCCACGCAAGGCTTACACAGATTCAATCTTTGTGACCAATTCAGTCTTAAAATGCACAAGAAGAAAGAATTTGGCTGACTCAGTCTTTGTTGCAGTGGCTCTTTTTCTCTATCTGCCCTTTTTTTTTTTTTTTTTTTTTTTGTTTATGGCTAATTTTTCCTTTTTTTTTTTTTTTTGTCTAGGGACGCTCCATAGTATCCTTACCTCAAAAGATACTATATTTCCAAGGAAACAAATTCCTTAATGAAAATCAGGTCATGAGATGGACCCAAAACATTTCCAAAACTTAAAAAAAACCAACCAAATAAATGAATACCAAACTGGACATATTTGTTAAAGTACCAGATCTTCTTATATCATGAATGTCTAGAAGTATGAAAACTAAGCTGTCACTTCTGTTACAGAATTCAAACCGCTGACTGCCTTCTTGGTTTAACTGAAGTATTTCAATCATCATTATTTAAAGGATTATTCCACATTAATCACTACGCTCAACTTGAACAGGAACACCCGGAGACTAAAATATTTAAACCATAAGAGCTCTAAAACCCTTCAAGCTTGACTGTTCAAGGTGAAACAGGAAGCTGAAGCTGTATATAACTTGCCAAGTCAACCTCACGCAAAGGCTTATAAAAGAAATCTGGATGTAAAGGATTCATAAATAAATGTATGTATATTCCTTAACCCTCCACCTTATTTTTATTTGAACTAGCTGAGTTAGATCATATCTCTGTATAATGTAATGAACAAGATGTTGTGATCCATACAAAAGAAGAAATTACCTACTTTTTCCTAAGAAATAAGTCAACAGGACTATCTATGGTCTATATCAAAAGTATTAACTCATCCCCATAGACCTGTAGGCAAACAGACTTATTAACTGAAATTTTTCGTTATACTCTGAGTTAGTGGTTAATTTTGAAAATTTGAAAAACTACGTAAGTATTAAGTCCCATATTTGAATTGTCCAGGTCATACTGTGTAAAAAAAAAACTTGACTCGAGGAAATATTTTGACAAAAACAGGACTTCTGCTAAGAATTCTTAAAAGCATCCAAGCTTCTGGCTTAATAAGAAATATACGATGCAGGGGCTGTGAGAGACTTGGGTAGGAAACAGATATCTTTCTGAGGGAGGCAGAGGGGGAGGAGGTCTCTTGTCAAAGATCCTGACAATTTTAGATCAATCTGGAATAACGGCTTTAAAGTAACCAACCACCACCTGGTGCACAGAATACACTGGACTCTGGAAGTGCCTTAGAAAGATGAGAAGAATGGAATGCTATGGATGCATTTGATTCTACCTAACAAGTTTAGTATGTTCTTCATATTACTACTATTTGTTTTTTTTTACAGTAGAATATATTTTGTTAAGGTACCTGCCTACTGGTATTCCAAGTCATACTAGTCCCTAAAGCTGGAAGACTAAGATACTGATTTAGAACAGCATGTATACTGGTTAAGGAAGAAAATACTTTGAGTAAGATGCCAACTCACCTTGTCACGCAAATGGTGTTCTGCAGCCTCAATATTCAAAGGATCATCAAAATTCAAGAGATCCTGTAAAAGAGACAGAAAACTTTTTAAATACAAACAACTCTATTTGCATATGATGAAATAAGCAGATGAGGCAAAGTATTAAATAACATTTTCATTTTTATGCTTACAGGTCTCTGGTTTAAAGCCTACTTGGTGCAAATGAAAACTAATTTGGTTAAGTCAATCACTGCTTAAGTGTATGCCAAAAGAACCTAGACACTACTTAAATTGATGGCTTTTCCTTTCACTGGTTGTCTGGAAACAATTTGGCAACTTCTGAAGGACACTCAGCAAAACAATCTGAGATTCAACGAATATCCAATGTATCAATGGGCAGAACACTAATGATTCTGGTAAAAAGCAGAAAACCTGGATTTAGAAGAAAGACAGGCCCACAAGATATTTAGCGCTGCAGGTAGAAGAATCTCTCTGGAACCTGCTGCTGCCATATTCAAGCTGCAAACAGAAGTTTCATTTCTGGCAACACCTGCACAACATCTAAATGTGAACCACTAGTACAGATCCCAGTGCATTAATTTGCATGACCACTGTACTTCATATTGTTAAAATTGAGGGACAAGAAGCTGACAAAAAACCGTGTTATCATAAAAAATCATGAACAATCACTATGGAAACAAAGATCATTTTCTCTGGGATTCAAGTCTATTGTGTCACTACTTCTATAAACATCTATAAAAAGTGAAGTGCCATGACTTTACAAGTGTGAAAGGCTCACACCATTGCCCCTGAGACTTGCTTCAACAGTAATTAATCTGTATGGTAATTTTAGCACATACTTCCAAATTGTCTTTTTCCCTCAAAAACAAAACAAAATAAAATTAAAAAAAATCTTAACTACCTACTTACTTTCCAGAAGCAAGCTTAAGCCATCATTTTAAAGCTTAATAAACTGTAACGCCCCCTAAAAAGCCCCTACTTAAATCCAATAAAAACCCAGAAAGCAAAACAAAACAAAAACCCCTCAAACTTCTGAAGAGCAGCATAGGGGAAATACAAAAATGGAGGTTGCAAAGTATAGGTCTTAAAGGACATTATAAATCCCTGCAATTTGTTGTGCATAACCAGATGGTCTTACAGTGAATCAATTTACATACACTCTTATTGCTGACTGCACTTTTTGTCTTCTCAAATGGATTCACCTTGCTTTAGTCATTTAAAATGCAATGAAGGACTATTTAAAAAATAAATAAAGTTACTCTGCACTGAGGTGGTAAAGGCTCCCCAATATATTTTTCATTCAATTTACCTTAAAAGGCTATATCTAAGAACATTAAGCCTCAGTAGCCCTTAAAGGGTACAGCTGCCCTGGGCTCTGTAGACTTCTACACAGGAGAACAAAACTATTTCTGGTAGTAGCACCAGCAATTCAGAGATCCAGCTCCTTCCCTCCGTTTGAGATAAGCACGGAGGAAACAAGCCTAGGCTGAAGGAGGAGATGGTAAATCAAAGCCCAGACTGTGAGATTGGCTGCATCTCCCTTTTATTTTCCCTTCTTCAGTCTTTGCCTGACAATCACCCACCTTCCGGAAAAACAGCTTTTCGAAGGAAGGGAGGGCAAACCTCTATTAGTTGCTTAAGTATAACACACAGATGCGGCCCAAGTTGTGATCCAACTACACTTTCAATCAATTAATAGCTTGATAAAACCAGGAATAAGCCACAAAGTTATTCTACAAAAAAAAGTGTGTAATAACCAGGCATCCTAGTTTTCTATGGGAAAAAGGCGAAAATCTCCGCTTAAAACGTACACAAAATTCATATTTTTCCACAACCTACTGAAAGTGCACCGACATTCTGTGGCAAGCAGTGCCATTTCTGCTCTCTCATTTTTGCTATGGTTTTTGCCTCTCGGCTAATCAGCAGCGTACCCCCTCTGCTTCCCCTCCCTCCCTCTGCTGTTGACTGACAGAGGCAAAAACCACAGTAAAAATAAAGAGCAGAAATGGCACTGTTCATCACAGGACGCCACCACGCTTTCTGTAGATCATGGAAAAACACAGATTCTGTGGTTTTCCACTGTGGATGGAAAACTAGGTTCCATGATGATAACTTTGTGGCTCTCTTAACAAGCTGTTAACTGAACGTGGGGCTACATGTACCCCCCATGGCTGAGAGCAACAGGTCTTCTAGCAGCAGGAGGAGTTTGCTACACGCTGGTGCAGGCAGTACCCCCTGCACCATCAATAAGGTGTGAATGGATCCGATGTTGGATCCAACAATGAAGCCTCCTGCCGTGCATGTGCAGCTTGGCAGGAGGCGCAATTGTGTGGATCATGCATCAGATCTTATCATGCCTTGACCTGCAAGTCTAGAGTCAAGAAACTATTCAGAGATAACTATTCAGGTTTCTGGTTGCCTGTTTCTGCCATTAGTCCTGGGGTTTTGTTTTTTTTTGTTTTTTTGTTTGTTTTTTTGGGGGGGGAGGGGGGGGGGTTACAATGGTACTACCACTTTTTCCAGCTGCCCTAGGCAGCTTCCTTTGGTAAAAAAAAAAAACAAAAACCAAAAGATGCAGTCTTTCTACACCTGCTAATTTATTTGATTGGGACATCGAATACTGGACTCGGAGGCCTCCAGGGCCACAGAGTCCAGTCTCCTGCATTGTCATTTACCCACAGAATCCCCAAATCACCACTTCAAATCCTCACATTCAACTACAGCTACTAGTCATAATACCCAAAACACCAAGGATACCCTATAATATGCTACACACAAATCAGAGAAGGCAAAGGAACTGCTAACACCCTGCCACTGCTGTAAGAGGGAAATAATTTATTGTGTGTTCAGAAGATCCCCAGGCAAGAGAGGAGGGTGGCAGATGACAGATGGGAGCCCACGTGGATTATTCTCATTTCCTTGCAAGATTAGTGTTTATTCTTATTCAGGGGCCGAGGTAAATCTTCAAACAGGTGTTTAATTTCCTCCCTTTTTAATTGTTAACCTATGCTGTGATAGCATTTATCCCTTTATCCAAAAAAGGAAATCTTTTGAAGTTCTAGCAATGCAAATCATAGCCACCTGTCACACAGTACACCAATTAAAAAAAAAAAAAAAAGAGGGGGGGGGGGGGAAGGTTTCCACAAAGCCTAAGCTACTCATTAGCAAAGGTCCCTTCATGGCTTTATGGCTCTGTGCAAAATAATTCCAAAAAGCAGTACATGCTCTTCTGTATAAGCCGCAAGGTTACCTATACAAAAGAAAGAAATGTTTCACAGAGGAACAATTTAATGATCAGTAAAATCAGTGGTAATGCTAACATTAACTTTAAGCAACCATGAATCAGGTCCATTCCAGGTAAAATAAAAAAAAACAAAAACAAAAACAAAACAAAACAAAACAAAAAAAAAAAAACACACTTGAGAGCGGAGACTAATTTATGTGCAAAGCATTGCCTACTTACAGTAAATAAAGAGTTTAATCCCCAAACAACATCCTGAAAAGGAAAAAGAGAATCAGTCACACACGTATGTCAAATATATTGTACATCCTATATTTCTCTTAAACTGGGGGGGGGGGGGGGGGGGGGGGGGTGGTGGGGTGGGGGTGTGTGTGTGTGTGTGTGTGTGTGTGTGTGTGTGTTAAAACTACGATAAAAGAGGTTTGGGCAGTTTCCACGCAAAAAATGGTTTTGTTTTTTTTTCAAAAGTTTATTTCAATACACAATGTGCCAAAAAGCACTCAGGACTGCGCAAAGCAATGGATAAGACTTCAAAAAATTATCAAATATAAATTAACTGGAACAAATAATTTGTAAATAGTCAGAGCTACTTTAAGAACTTCTCTATAGAATCACTAAATGCTGCCACATTTACATCTCTGTGTTCAAAGAAAAGAAACATTACAGTGCAACTTAGTATACCCATCAAAACTGAACACATTACAGCTGATTCCAAAAGGCACATATCAGATGCTTGCTATTCAATCAATCCATACAATTATAAAATGTACATCAGACCAAATATCAAGTTTGAGGAAAGTGATTTAAATCCCAATTTTTTTTGTGAACAGGAAAAGAGTCTAAGTTTCCCAGATTCTTCATGACAAATGATTTGCTTACCTCTGTAATTAATTTCATATAACTAAATAGAGACAGCTAATGTGCAATTACAGGTCCATATCAAAACCAATGAAGCACATGGAAATGGTCTATCTATTACTAATGTTATCTGATACAACATATTGGTATAGTCATTTTGCCTTATGTACCAAAAAGTTCCATTACTATCTAGCTTATAAGCTTCACAGGCTATGAAACAACAAGCAAAATTAAGCTACACAGAAATGTTTACTTCTAATGGAAGGAATTTCTTCTGGTAGAAAAACAGTCCAGGGGTTGGACTGTACAGACATTCCCCCACTCCCACTGCTGAAGAGCTTCACAGGGGGCACAAGGACTGGTCCCTAAGCTACCCCTGCCCTCAGGGGAGCCCATTAATTGACAGCCTGTCCCCTCCCTGCGTGGAAGGGGCCAGGTTGTCAGGTGGCAGTTTGCAGCTGCTGAAAAACAGCAGATGCCACTGACACCACGGAGGGTTCCCGCCACAAGAGAGTGCATCTCTATCCCACCAGCTTACTGGCAGGAAGGGGGGGCATTCTCTAATGGTGAACCCTCTCAGTTCTCCCCCACAGAAGAATAGCCTCTGCTCCTTGTACTTCTTTGGGATGACCCAGGGCAAGGAGAAGGAGAGACCACTGTAGCAAAGCTCCAGGAGCCTTGAAGCAGGGTCACAGCAGCCTGCCTCACCCCACACTGCTCCAGTTTTTACTGTGGAGTAGCTATACAAGTTCAATACTATACCCACTGCTTGTGACTTGATGCCCTCCTCACTACCCAGGAAATAAAAATCTAGTGCTCGCTTCCACTTGTTATTACAGAAGGATAACTAATATGCTTTACTTATTCCTTTCCTCCCACTTCAGTGAAGATAAAACCTAACAGGAAAAACTACACTATGACACAGAAAATGAGCATTTAATGCTTATGTAACAACTTGCTGCAT